AAATGGTTCTAGAGATATCGTATGGAAACGAAAGTGTTATAACAGACAGAATTTGCTCAATTATGACCTTGACCTTCGACCTTTTGACCTCAAAATCAATAGGGGTCTTCTTTAGTCCATAGGGAGTTGCTATGCTAAATTTCATTGCAAAAGCTCAATGGGTTCTTGAGATATCGTGTGGAAAAAAAAGCATTACAGACAGACAGAAAGACGGACGGACGGACAGACAGACGCACGGACGGACGGACAAACCCAAATTGATATCCCCCACTTTTCAAGCGGGGGACAATTAAAGAAAAAAAAAACTGTAGATTGGTTTCAATTGTCCAGATTTCAGTTTTCCCCCGAATTCTTATTCCAGTTATGGAATAATCTCAATATTTGTTATCGACACCTTTTCGTTTCTAACGAAATATCTCTTTACAATGCCCAAAATAATAATCCATGTGTATAAAGTAGATATATCTATATATACGTCTTTATAGTGCTATAGTTAGATAATGAATTTTGTTTAATGTTTATGCTCCAATATTTGCACAGCTAATGAATCAAAATTATAGAGTTTTTCATACCTATTCTGACATTGGCTCCTTTGTTTTCTTCATTAATTGTTGAATTTCAGAAACCGCTTCTTCATTAATAACAATAATGAACGATAGACAGAAGTCTCATAGACATAACGGAGATGTTCAAACACTGTGTCTTATCCAGCTCCAAAAAGATCAGTGCAGTATTAAGGATATCGTAAAAAGTTATGTCTGATCCAATCTTAATTTAAAACCCAGACAGAGTAATTCAAGTCACATATCTGTTAAACACTATAGATGCAGTTTTTTATCAATGGTTTTGTTGAATGCTCCCGTTATTTAGCCCTTTATTCAGGAACCAAGTTCTGACATTTAAATCCTACAATTTAAATTTAGAATTTTCATTGGTGTTTCGACGGTTCGCATTTAAAGTAAAGAGTTCTGAACTACGACGCTTCACGCCGGCAGATTTCATATTAATATGAAGGTGTGGAGATTTGTAGTTCATGTACCTCACGAATTAAATTAAAGTAATTTCTTATATTCTCGAACTCACTTACAATGAACTCTATTTATTTGAAAAATCGATTACATTGAAATGAATTCCCCTCAGAATTTGGTGCAGGCTCTTTGTAAGATTGGTTAGAATGAAATCAGTTGAATTGAATCTGTAAATTTTGAGGTCCACTGAAGACAGAAGGTGTAAACATTATTTCTGACGAATTGTTACACTTTATAATCTAATCATTATATCGCTAGTTCACACCCGGGACGTGAGTATAGAGAAATAACCGGGGGTTGTATCGCTAGTTTACAGCCGGGACGTTAGTATAGAGAAATAACCGGGGATTGCGTCGTTTGTTCACACTCGGGACTCTTGTGTAGTGGTATAGTGGCTCAGCACTTATTAATAAACATATTAAAATGTGTTGATTTCATTAATGTTTTATTTATAATGTTTACAGTTTACACTTGTTAATCATTCATACTAATAATAGTGTATTTGTATGCAATTCATTAATTATTTATATACCAGGTAGTTTATTTATTATTCTATTTATCACACTATATAATTATAAGCCCATGTGTAGGTTATAATCCAGGTTTTGACCTTTAAGCCTAAAGCTTATGCAGGAAGCTTTATTTATAAAGGGAATTTTTAAATCGCTACTCAAGGCCATAATAAGATAAAAAAATGTTTTGAAATTCCAAACATAAAAAAGGATATATGAAAAATCTTCATATCAAATATAAACAGATCTCAAAATGTATATAAGACAGCATACATGCCTATCAATGTATATTCAAGCTTGCTCAATTTGCCAATTTGAAATCCAAATGGCTATTAATTAGTTTGTTTTTCAAAAAGAAGAAAATAAAATATACAGTTAGACACGAAGTGAGTCCAATTCTTTTTCAGGATAGAATTCGGAATAAAAACTTCTCTTTTACTTTTTGGGACAAACCTATTTCTTTATATTTATGTATGAAGGATATGGAAATAACGAACAGTATTCAATCTCAACGTCCATTAAACAAATATACAAAATAAGAGCAGAGCAAACACGGACCCCGAAACATCAGAGGTGGGATCAGGTGCCATGGAGGAGTAAGCATCCCCTGCTGACCGGTCACACCCGCCGTGTGCTCGTTGTCATAATCAGGATATAACGGAAAAAATCCGTGGTCAATTCAGTGTATAAATAATGGACTAACAATTGGTATGAAAAACGTCAGTCAGCATTTCATTCAATGATAAATTGTATTTGCTGACAAGGTCATTGTATCGAACATAGAATTTACGAAATGATGACTTCAAACGAGACTGTTGATATTCTTGTTTCATCAACATGCTTGTCAATAATTTACCTCGTTTAAGAAATTGTTCATACGTAGAGCATGCTCTTGCATATCGAATCAACTGAGATATAAATACTCCGTATGCAGGTGATGAAGGTATATTGCTGCATAAGTAAGAGAAGTTGGCGATAGAACAGTTAAAGTCATCACGTTTATCATATAGCTTGGTTGTTAGATTACCATTAGTGTCTTTTTCAAGTAAAATATCCAAGTATGAAGCAGAAGTGTCGGACTCTGTGGTATCTTTTATTTCAAGCTCACCAGGATATATCGTGTCGACGTAGGAATGAAAATTATCATTATTAATAGACAATACGTCGTCGATATATCTAAATGTCGAGTTGAAGGCCACAGCAAGTGTTTTCTTCTTTTCACGTAAAAGATTTTGCATAAATTCTGCTTCATATGAATATAAAAATGAGTCTGCTAATAACGGAGCGCAATTTGTACCCATGGGAATTCCAATAGATTGTTGGAATACCTGGTCTCCAAAAACCACAGAGATATTGTCAATCAGAAACTCAAGCATTTTCTTGATGTCAACTTCAGAGTACTTATGTGTGCAATCAGAATCTGTTTTAACAAAATAATTTTTCAAATGACCAATGACGAGGTAAGTAAACTTACGAGTTCCATTTTTGTTGAAGAAGCAGCTGTCAATGATATCAAAAAGCCTGGATTTTAATTTGTCGTGGGGAATTGTTGTGTATAAAGTTGAAAAGTCGTAAGTTTTTATGCTGTTGATTTTTGTAAAGTCTTGTGATTTCAAATTGTCCAAAAGTTCTTTAGAATTTTTAAGTATCCACATCTGATTTACACCACTTCTTGAATATATAGTTGTACAGTACTCTTGAAGTTTTTCCTTCACTACTGTCAATATTTTAGTGAGAAGTAACGAAAGAGGCTTGGTTGAACATTTACTGGAACCTGCAATGTATCTTTGTTTGTAAGGACTCTTATGAAGTTTCGGAATCCAATATATATAAGGTAGTTCAAATTCATTTTGGCTCTGTGGAATATTAAAAGTATTCAATACTGACAGGTGATTCTGAAGAATTTCTTCCTTAGAAAGAGAAGTATATGTATAAGTAGGATTACCACTTGTAGAATTAAATCCAAGTTCTTCTAGAATGCAATTTATATAATGAGCCTTACAAACGAAGACAATGTTGTTACCTGCTTTGTCGGCAGGAACCAGTACGTACTGATCGTGTAATCTATCTATACAGTTTGTATACATTTTATTGCCTTTACATTTAATACAGAAGTGTAAATTTAAAATAAATTACGAACTAAGGCCTAATAAAATACTGGCCTTGTGATACTGAGTTGATTATCAAACAATGTGTTTTCCCCTAATATTCAAATTATTTCAGCATTGACATATTGCTGCATTTTTATATTACATGTTATATAGTACAATGCTTTTTGTTCTTTGAAAATGTCTAAATATCCATATATTGCAAATACTTTCATTTAGAGTAAAATATTCTTACAGCAAAGTCCCAGGGAAACCAATTATCAATTGTTATAAAAGCATTAAGTTAATGTGTTAAGTTAACAATGCATTTGAAGACCATGGGGGATAAAAATCACTATGTTGCATGTGTCAACTGTTACCATTATATACTCTTTAGTTTAATGAAGGATATGGAGATAATGAACAAAATTGTATATGAAAGTCCATAAAACAATACAAAACATGAGTAGAGCAAACAAGGGTCTTTAAAACATCAGAGGTGGGATCAGGTGCCATGGAGGAGTATATAATATAATGTATGGGGTCTGCATTACCCTTTCAAGAGAAGGTTATGCTCCAACACGACATTTTCATTTTGTTACCATGTAAACAGTTATAAAACAAATCACAAAATTTTATCAGCAAAATAAAAACAAAATCGTGTCTAATTATTTAATTTGAAAAAGGAGCACGGAAGCATAACCTAAAATTTCTTGATACACTGTTTATTTGCTTTTGGATAGGACTGTTTTTATATTATTGCGTGACAACTACTAGTTGCTTATAGAGGAAATCCCTTTTACAGCACGAGTTTTACCATGCCCTAGTTCCTTTTACAGCACGAGTTTTACCATGCGCTGACAGAAGACGATGTTCCAGATGAAGCAGAGAATATGAAGCCGAAAGATTTTACAGTGGAACTCTTCAGGTTGGCTAAGGGGCATATAGTGTATTGAGACACAAATACCATCACATATTACCTCAATGACAAAGTCTAAGATTCTGAAATGACTGACTTGATGTAAAGGTTGAAAATCTTCATCAAATAAATGTATCAGAAATTCAGAATGTTTCTTTTTTCGATTTTTCTTGATAACCTCTAGAGCTGGACAACTGACAATTAATTCTCCGCATTTGCTTGAGGAATTGATCAAGCTTAAAATGGAATCTTTTTTGTTTGATTTTTATCCGACTATAATTTTTCTAAATGTTTGCAACTATCTTCTCCATCAATAAGACGCATGCCTTTTCACCCATATCGAAGCGGTTTGATGATCAAGGCTCATTTTCATTGCTTACTTTAAATATTTCCCGTGCGACAATTTGTTTTCTTGTTTAACATTAGAATGTGTTTATTGTCTACACCAAAGAAAGCTGTCTAAATTCAACTGAGTGTAACAATGATATAAATATATTTCTGTTGACTTGTTTAACATTAGGATGTGTTTATTGTGGACACCAAGAAAGCTGTCTTCGTCTGGATTGGATTGGAAACCTCTGTTGCTGAGAGAAAGAATGCAATGACTTATGCCCATGTAAGTAGAACTGTAATATTAATAGTGATAAAAGAAAGAATGCAATGACTTATGCCCATGTAAGCAGAACTACTTAAGTTTTTGATCAATATGGACAAATGACGCATCTTGATTTACAATCTTTTATTAATTAATGTTATGGTGTATTTGATCCAAATTTGTAAGTTTTTCCTTAAAGCAAAAGTTCATTCATAAGATTTTGAGGATTAACAGTAATTACCTTATGTCTGAATTTTCAGAAATATCTACAGAAAACTGACCATCCACTTCTGAGCGTCACGTGCTTGTCTGAGGGAAAACATGACAGACAGATCAGGATGGCTCTCAGCGCCTAGTTACCCGAAGACAAAGGCCGAGGCTTATCTAATCCATTGATTAATATTTGACAATGAGAGACGACAGTTTCTGATTTGAAAGAAACTTTTAATATGTTGTTTTGATATCAGATTTAATCGTAGTTTAAATGTTTTGACGTAGGTTTTAGCAATACATAGTTTTCTATCCAATGAGATGGATTTCTTATCCAAAGATATAGCTATAATCGAGATTTAGCAATATGTAAAGTATTATTATGTATGGATTTATGTTCGGGGTAAAATTACCACTGATTGTTGGAAAAACTCATCTTTGTTTCTCTTTATCACTTACCTTTTTTTCACTTTATATGCTTAATTAATATATTTTTCATATATACATGTACATACAATTATCAATGTTACTTATATAAAGGGTAGATTATATGGGTTTGGGGTTTATGATTATTTTTGGAATTCTTTTTCATTCCTTTCTTTTTTTTCTAGTTTTATAGTGCTATTTTCTTGTGCAATAATGCTGCATATCGCAGATCATCCTCATATAGAAATAAAAGTTATAGCATTCGATGTTTTATGTTTATTGAAGCAGTGCCCATATTGTAAATAGGACATTGACATATACTGTAGAAGTACTTTTTTCCGCTTGGTTTTAAATTACGCTATGTACGCGGACACAAATTTTCCGCGGAAATTTGTCCAAGCGGACTCTATATAAATGTAAGTCATATAAAGACAGTCTAAGAAATCCGCGTAATTTTCTACCCGCGGACTAAACAGAAGTTGAGATTCCGCGGAATTATGACCCCGTGGAAAAAAGTACGTCTACGGTAAATAAAAACAGAGACCTGCTAAGAACTGTCATATGACAGTGTAGGGAGAAATGTAGCGTTATGTTTTTATATGTTTTTATCAGTTTGACCTTTCCGTTATGAAAATAATGTGCAATTTATGACGCAAAATTTTCTGCACATAATTCACGCCTGCTAATCGATCACTTGCACAACCAGCAGTTGTGTATAGCAATCAAAAGAGATCGATTTCCGGTTGTGCAGTTGATGCGAATAATTCCAGTGCACAGGTAGTAAATGGACTCGATTCAGGCAATTATTGATATTTTTATTAAAATATAAGAATGTGATTCCATGAGCAATTTATTTTTCTTTAATTTTACACTCTCATAAAATGCAGTGATTGTCGAATAGCGACTAAATTTGTTTTGAAGCAAGGGCTGGTAGAGCAAAAACGCTGATTGAAAACAGTATTCGCCGACTAAAATTGCATAACCCGAGATCTCTTTCACAACTGAATGATCGCATGCACAAGCAATGTTTTTTTTCTTCGAATATTTGTCAAATTAACACATATCGAAGTCCCAGTTTTGGTGGATAGGATGCACTTGTTGCATACTCATGGTGGACACTGAATTTTCAAGATTGGTTAAGATTAAAACGAATTTTAGTCGGCGAATACTGTTTTCAATCAGCGTTTTTGCTCTACCAGCCCTTGCTTCAAAACAAATCCATTCGACAATCACTGCATTTTATGAGAGTGTAAAATTAAAGAAAAATAAATTGCTCATGGAATCACATTCTAATATTTTAATAAAAATATCAATAATTGCCTGAATCGAGTCCATTTACTACCTTTGCACTGGAATTATTCGCATCAACTGCACAACCGGAAATCAATCTCTTTTGATTGTTATACACAACTGCTGGTTGTGCAAGTGATCGATTAGCAGGCGTGTAATTGGTGATAATTTCTTCATTTTCTAGCATTGGTCAATCAACTTATTCACTCCATAATCCTAAATTAAAGCAATATGAGCTGCATTTTTGAGAATTTAATTTTGCTGGTAAAATGTGTTATTATGATTAATTTGTATGTAATTTAAACCCCTATGACCAATAAGCCCAAAAATAAAGTTTAAAATTTTTCATAAGTAATAATTCTATTCAACCGAACATACAGTATAATATAAAAAATCATTATTGTACAGGACGACAATAATTCAATTTTGCTTCAACCAAAGCTAATAAAAAAAGTATTCATCGCAAAAATGAACAACACAATTTTATTGATGTTTTAATTTTTCTGTCAAAGAAATGTTAATTAAAAATTTGCAACAGAATTTTCCGATCTCAAATATGCAGCTCGTATTGCTTTAATTCTTTAACGAGTCTGTATACTTTATTTGCCTCCCAATTATTCAGACTCATCTCTGTGCTTGCTTGTTGTGATCTTTTTTAGGATGACAGAAAATGCAAAACTGTCTGTTTAGATGAAAACGTATCTGGAGATGTATAAATAAAGTTGATAAATAAATGTGCCTGGATTTAGGGAGGGAAATATAATTGACTGACCAGTACTGGAAAGTGGAGAAATTCTCGCCATTATTTCCATTACGGGATCTGTAGCGTTATAGTCAAAGACTTAGACATAAAAACCATAACACTACACTTCTGTAACTAATGAAAGTGAACACTGTTCTGTAAAAGAAGGATATGAAGATAATGAACATTATTATATGATTGAATAATTTCCACCTCTCTGATTGGCTGAGATCCAACTATGTTAGAAAAATACTACCTTGTATTGACCTGCACGTGACGTTCCAGGTCAATACAATGATTTATTTCCTCTACATTGATCTAAAAATAGATCGGGAAATTCCAGATTGATACAAATTGTTTTGAAAAGCAATTTAAACTACTTTGACTTTCTTTTCATGTGAACAAAACAAGCGAATATATATTTTCGGGTGAGGGTAGTAAGAGGGGATGAGATGCAGAGACACCCCTCCAACACTTTTACTGAACAACAATTTTTACTTTTTTGGCAGTCAGTTTTCCCTGATAATAATCCTTCCTTTAAAAATCTATCGTAAAAAAACTGACATAATTTTTTTCAAAGCAACTAAATTTGATAATAGAAAATTAAAAAAATAATTAATAAATAAGACCTGTAAGGTTGAATATCATTTTAATTCTGCTTCTCTTAATTTTATTTGGATAGGACTTAATTAAATGCAAACAAGTAATGGGTTTTATTTTATTAGTGAATCATATAATAAAACAATTATTGCTGTTTTTCAGTCAATACAATGATTAAGCCGTCAAAAAAAAAAATAAAAGCAAGTAATTTAACAATAACAAATAAATGTTAATTATGCACAATCTCGTACAGTCAATATTTCACAAATTTAGTTTTTGCCATTGTTCTGTCATTTGAGGGCAACAAGGAATGTGGGAATCTCCTGTAGAGCTTCCTCGCTCACTTAGCTATGTCGACTCCTTTCGGATCAAGCCCCTCCGAGAAATATATGTCCAAAGATCGGTTTTCACTCGTTACTTCACTATTTTTGTATTGAATAGTTTTCGTCACTGTTATTCCTATGGTATGTGTCACTGTTACTTCCAGGTCATCCTCACACTGCCCGTCTGCAATTTCGTTCTCTTCTTCGAATTCGTCACTTGATATCTCGATGAAATCGCTATCACAGTATTCCATAGTGTCACTGTCACTGTCATTCACTGTGTCCTCTCGCGATTCTATAATGAAATCCTCTTCATCACTGGATACATCACTGTAGTCTGGATGTTTAATGATTCTATCGTTATAATCCATGATGAAAAGTTTACAAATCAAAAACACTTAAATCGAATTCGCTAATTAGTTCTTTAGAATATTCCTCATGTCTGGCATTAACATTTCTCTTCGAATTGTCAATCCTGTTAAAACTTTCACCACAAAATCCACAATTGAACGATTTCACGGCATCTTCATGAAGTCTTTGGAAATGTCTTTTGAAATTGTCTAATCTTGTGAATAATAAACCACACTTTTCACATAATACTATCCTCATAACGTTTTGGTTTTCGAATGGCCCTTCCCGTCTTGTTTTAGTAGATGTACCCCGTTTTTGTGTATCACGTGACTGGTCGGTTGGAGGAGGCTCTGCAGCTGGAATACACAGGCCGCGGTTCGTCTTTGCCGCGCTGACTTTTCATGCACGGGGATACGGCGGTCTCTTTAGAAATTGAGGAGGGATCCAGCTCGGGCATTCTCGGGTATTTCTTTGATTTTGAGGAGGTGTTTTAGTTTAAGCCTTGCAGTTTTCCGTATTTGGAACGATTTTAGGTTGTCTGCAAGGACAATTGCGGGATAAGATTTCCTTGAATGTCTGATTTCAAATAACACATCACTTAATTTTTTAGTCACAATCCAAGGTCCAGTCCAGTTCCGAGCTAATTTAAGCTTCGTTCCCACTATTTGTTTTGGCTGAAATCTTCTCACAATATCACATTCATTGTAAGTTTCTCGTACGGCAGTTTTATCGTAATTTTTCTTTTTCCTCTGGACAGCTCCCAAATTTCTGTCTCGTGCTTTTACAAAAACTTTTCACATATTTCGTTTCTGTTATCTTTTCTCCTTTTCCGATTTCCAGTGATTCTGTTTGTAAATCTACGGGTACAGTCATCTCCGAACCAAACATCATGCGGTACGGTGTAATCCCAGTTGTGTCGTGTAATGAAGAGTTATAAGCCATCACAACACAATCAATGTAATCATCCAAGTCAGTTTGTTTCACATTTATATATTTCGACAACATCTTTTTAATTGTCCTGTTTAGTCTTTCCACCATTCCGTCGGATCGAGGATGAAGTGCAGTTGTCCTTGTTTTCGCAATATCAAACATTGAACACAAATGTTGAAACACTAAACTTTCAAATTGTACACCTTGATCACTATGAAATTCATATGGACATCCGTATCTTTTAATCCATCCCCGGAAAAAGACAGTAGCTGTTGTTTTTGCTTCCATGTTCGGTATAGGAAAAATCTCCGCAAAATTTGTAAAATAGTCCGATATAACTAAAATATATACATTGTCATTTGCAGTTTTAGGAAATGGGCCGGCTATATCTGCTGCGACTCTTTCAATTCTTCCACCAGCAATATACGTTTCCATATACATGTAATTTCCATTCCTACGTCGATACGATATATCCTGGTGAGCTTGAGATAAAAGATACCACAGAGTCTGACATTTCTGTTTCATACTTGGATATTTTACTTGAAAAAGACACTAATGGTAATCTAACAACCCAGCTATATGATAAACGTGATGACTTTAACTTTTTCAACTTCCTTTACTTATGCAGCAATATACCCTCATCACCTGCATACAGAGTATATATATCTCAGTTGATTCGATACGCCAGATCATGCTCTACGTATGAACAATTTCTAAAACAAGGTAAATTATTGACAAGCAAGTTGACGAAACAAGAATATCAGCAGTCTCGTTTAAAGTCATCATTTCGTAAGTTCTATTGTTGATACAATGACCTTGTCAGCAAATACAGATTATCACTGAGTCAAATGCTGACTGACGCTTTTCATACCAATTGTTAGTCCATTATTATACACTGAATTGACGACGGATTTTTCCGTTATTTTCTGATGACAAGGAGCACAAGGAGGGTGTGACCGGTCGGCAGGGGAACTTCACTCCTCCATGGCACCTCATCCCACCTCTGATGTTTCGGGGGTCCATGTTTGCT